TCCTTCATTCTCTTTTCGCACTTTACATATGACACCATCTGACACATTGATATCTACATATCTACATTGATCCTACATTAATTCAATGATGTGCGGAGAGCTCATTCCGAATGATCAGCAATGCAAGAAAATTTGTTTTCATTGAAGGAAGTATCACAACACAGGTAATTGCTATTAAATGTTTTTGCAGACAGTGACAGATGGTGAACATGGCAATCCAGTTAAGCTGTTATAAAGTACCATTCGTAAACAACAAAGAATCAGCCAGTCTGAAAATATTGAAAAATATTTCAGCGAAACAGATAGGGAATCTATTGGACTTGTAGTTGGCCAGTTGGACCGAGAAAAATAGTTAGAGTCTTATGGTCTGAAGATTCTCGGAAAACCCCGTGTATGATCAATTCTTGAAAGACAGCCAGCCAGATTTTGCGAATAAAATTACATCCATTGATGTAATATTGTATCTGCTTTTTGCTATTACATCATTATTTTATACATCAGCTTGAATTACATTGATCGATATTACATTTTTTTTCTGTGTACAGCCATAAGTGATTTAATTAATTCGCTGATTGTAACTCTTTGAAAATTAAATGCACAGGTTTTTAACGTCAAACTCATCCTTTGCAACGTCCTCTTGTAACTTAAAAATACAAAATGTCAAAATAACGTATAATGACTTCACAATTCCGAAAAAACAAGTGTGGTTCGCAATCAGGGAAAGACTGAGATTTAAGAAAGTACAATTCTAATGTAAATTCTGCATTATCTAATTACTATTACCACAAACGAAGTGACAGACGACTAACTGGCGAAGAAATCCATTAAAATAATGTGGTTCACTGTAATAGAATTTTATTGGAAGCTTGTGCCATCATCCACCAGATGGGTTAGTTTTTTTGTTTTGATTTGAACAAAGTTGATTTTGTGTACAATGATTTTTTTTTTTTTTTTTTTCCTTTATTTACAAGGCTTTCAGCCATTGGCTGGTTCGCCTTGGGCTACAATGATTCTTTGACAGTGTGCAAAGAGTGCGTATCATTTTGTCATTTTTTTATGCATTTCAGTTTTGAGTAGAGTGAAAGAGATAGAACCAAAACATTCCAGTACATTTGGTGAAAATGCTAGTTCAATTTAGTAGTAGTGTTGCCATGTGGTACAATCCAGTAGTAGTAGTGTTGCCATGTGGTACACTGAAAAATTGAAATAGCAGGTTAGTCACCAAAGTTTTCGAGCCGCTCCGTCTGTCACTTCGTTTGTGCTATTACTTCGAACTTTTAAGCAGTTTGGATAACAATTTGGCCAACATATGCTTACTTAACTTTTGCTGGTCCGACGTCCCTCAAGATTTGACCTGTATAACAAGTTGCGCCAACTAACGTGGTCCCTGGCTGCTTGTCTCCTGTTTCTCGAGCGTCCCACACTTCCTACATCTTGCTCCACTTGGTCTAACCACCTAGCACGCTGTGCTTTTCTGCGTCTTGTATCGGCCGGATTTGAGGAAAACACCATTTTTGCGAGATTGTTGTCCGGCATTCTTACAACGTGTTCCGCCCATTGTACCCTTCCACCTTTAGCGACTTTCTGGATATTGGGTTCGCCATAAAGTTACGCCAGTTCGTGGTTCATTCCTAAATAGAGCTGGAACTAGGGCGTAACAGCTTTTGTAATCAATGACTTCTCTCGATGATTTCTCGGATGTCATGGCTCTCCCAGGCGAATCGTCATCACCATCGATTAGAGGAAGACTTCTACTACCCGATGGATATGTTGGTTTGTGTAGGCGTGCCTTGAATTTCGAGAAATCAACAAGAGAAGTCATTGTTTACAAAGGCTGTTACGCCCTAATTCCAGCTTTATCTAGATTCTTCTACTCCATACACCATTTTTATATACCCTGCCAAAGATGGTCCTAAGCACGCGTCGTTCGAAAACTCCCAGTGCTCCTCGAGCATTGTCCATTGTCATATTTTTCATGCACAATAATTTTGTTTATTATATATTTGCAGTCCGTTTGCAGCAATTTTTGGAGTGATCCGTGAAGGGGAAGGCTTGCCACTTGTATATCCGAACAGTGGACCAAACAAGCCAGCAACCCCGTCCAAAGTGTCATGCATTATTGACAAATTGGCACAGTGTGTCGATTTAAAGGGAGGTCTGGAGGCGCAGCGATCACATTGTCATGATTGTCTGGTAGTTCACTCAAAAATGCTATAACAATCGCCAAGCTCGCTGTAATGTCACCAAGTGCCTCGTCACCTACAAATTGGCGCTTATGTCAGTGGTCTAACAACTCTTAGCGCGCTAATGGCATAGTTCCCCTGCCGCATAGAGAGTTGCCGCAATGATATTAGGTTAGCTAAGGTCAGTTAACTGACTGGTGGGAAACGGGAGCTTCAGCATTGACTGTTATGTACGCATTTTTAGGATGTAATCTAACAACAATCGTGTGTAGTGTTTACACGATCATGTTTCTAATTCTAATGTGTTGTAAATATAATTGAAAGCATTTGAAAAGTAAGATTCTAGTGTTTTGTATATCTAAAAACATTAGTAAACATCTACATTTGAAAACATTTAAACAACGTTTACTTTAAACGTTTTGTACATCTAAAAACATCAGAGAACAACAAACACGAAGTACAATTGAAAACATCCTAGCAACGTTTAGTTCTAACGTTGTGTACATCCGAAAACATCCAAAAAACGTTTGGTTCTAGCATCGGGAGACATCTACGTTAGAAAACATCAGAATACATTTACATATAAAAACATCCGAACAACGTTTAGTTCTAACGTTTTTTACATCCGAAAACAACCGAAAAACGTTTGATTCTAACATCAGGAAACCTGTACATTAGAAAACATCAGAAAACGTTTACATATAAAAACATCCGAAAAACGTTTAGTTCTAACGTTTTTTACATCTGAAAACATCCAAAAACGTTTGTTTCTAACATCAGGAAACATCTACATTAGAAAACATCAGAAAACGTTTACATTTATAGTACGTTCAGACTACAGAGTTATAACATGTTATAGTGCTATCTTGATGGTGGTTTCTGTGTTGCAATTATTTGACAACCGTTATAACATGTTATAACTCTCCAGTCTGTACAGCGTTTTAAAAACATCCGAACAACGTTTAGTTCTAACGTAATGTACATCAGAAAACATCCTTAAAACGTTTGGTTCTAATGTCAATAGATTGAAATTTTTGACGTCAGACCGACATTATAATGGCAAAATTTTGTTCCAAAATTTCTGATGTATACACCATGTTACGTTGCTTAAATACAACTAAATCATAATGTTTTCTAATGTTTGACATCAGGCATACATTTGATTACGATGCTGATGTAGACATCAGAATCAAACGTTGGGCTAATGTAAATTTCTATTCGGGAATCGGTTGAGAGAATTATTTTTGGCGAGTACTACTATGTGATGCAATTTAACGGTGGACACCCTTTACTTTACATATAGCTTTAAAAAATTATCAAAACATGCGTTTTTCAAACCAAATTGTCAATCGTGTTACCTGCTCAATTGAAATATCAAAAATTGAGATTTAAGGCTGAGTTACGATTTAAGGCAGTTTGAAGTTTGAGCCACATTCAGTCTGCCTGGCTGGCATCGCTGTTAACTGCGGAGAGCCATTTCTCTTGCTCTCTCCCGAAACTCTTTTTCGCCTCGCTGTGGAAACAGCAGCGCAGCCGTTTCCTTTTTCTCCGTGCACACTTCAGGGCACACTTCCTTTCACCCCACTCCTGTTGCATCGATTCGATACATTGCCTCATTTCGCTTGCTATTGGTTTCGGTTGCGTAGTAGGCTTTGCACTTAGCACAAGGAAAGCCGACATTCAGGGGGATCTGCGACAGCAAGCAACGAGTCTGACGTCAAAGGCATTGGAGGGGTGGCTGTGCTGTGATTAGGATGGCATCGGGCGGAGGAGCTGCCGGTGACGGACGACGACCATACGTCCACCGAACCGGTTTTCTCACATTATGCACAGTGTAGAGGTACCCACATATGTAGGTATGTACCTCTCTGCCATGCACACCTATTCAGGAAAGATCCATCCCAAATTCGTCTCTCTCTGTGCGCCCATAAAAGTTGAGCGCGCACCATCAGCAGAGTGCACTATGGGACGGAAATTGAAATTTCGATTTTTTTAAACCAATCGGAATTTTTCTACTACCCAATATCAACTCCGGGGTCACTTTGGATTTAAGTGTGCTTGTTTTTTTTTTCGCTTGCAAAGAAGAATTTTTTATCATTTTCCTCCCAGGTAGCCCAAACTGATTCACTAGTTTTCGAATCAAAAAGTGTTGTATATCAATTTTGTAAATAAATATTGGGTTTTAACATGGTTTGAAAAATTGTTAGTACTTTAGCGATTTCATTATTCCCTTGTAAAAATTACTATTGTTCCACTTAATATTAATGGCATTCCCAAGTATTCAACCTGAAACCAATCCATGGCTGCATTTCAACCTTCAAATTGGTGTATCTTCAATAGTTTCTGCAGATATCTGCGGCTGAAATGAGAAGAATATTTTCTCCTTAGCAATAGTTCTTTCATAAAATTTCATAATTTTTTCACCAATTTGTTTTTGTTTTCCAAATAACTTGGAAACAGCAGGATATTGAGCTTTCAAGACAAACAACTTTTCTGAAGACATGCACTTTCCACAATGTCAGAGTAAAAAGTTATATTTAGGCACCATCTATGCGGATGAGTTGCGAACTATCTTGTTATAGCTTCGCAGAGGTACCAAACCTTGGAAATGCTTCGTTGAGGAGATATTGGCTTGGTCGTCCAAATTGCATTTCTGGCCCACTGTGCAGCGAGAGAGCGCAGCAAGCGTGTCGGGTTGGGGTCGAGTGAGTGTGTGACAACGATACCAGGGGGCCCCAGCACTGTAGAGCAGAAGCCGTAATCGAAGGAGTCCGCGGAGCTAATGACGATGATGATGAGTAGCAGTGGAGTCACTGACGCGGATGGTCGTGTTTGGCTTTTCTTCTAAATATTCCCGGGTTGTTGTCGGTTCTGCCGGTGGGTCCCATTGCACGCGTCGTGCCGTAGTAACGGAACGGTTCCGACATTCTATCGCACGGGGTCTCCATGTAGTTAGGGACATCCCGCGGTTGGTTCTTCCAGTTTCCCTTTCCTCGTTCTTAAACATATCTCGCTGCGGTTTGGAGGTTCGCGAGGAATGGTTTCCGTTAAATCGAATAAATGAAGCATGAAACAAAATTGTTTTTGATACAGTAGAATCAGAAGCCGAGCAGTGCACACAGCTAAGTGTAGCAGCGATAGAAGGAGGTACGAAGAGCATATAGCTTCGTGATCCGAAGGGTGGACAACACGCCGATGGGGGTGCCGACGGCGGAGGAGGAATGTTTATAAATTAATATTAATTCAATCAACAAGAACGAGTGTGACGAAAAGGCTAGAAGAAGCAAGATCAGTCAGCTCGGGTGCGCGGCAGAAAAACGGCAAAATTTGTACGTGATCCAAGTGGGCCGTGTTTTGGTGCGCGGGACAGAATCGCGTCGTCGTCGTCGTCGGCGCGGTCAGTGTGACGAAGAAAGGCATCCTAGCAGTCGGTCAGTAGTGACAGTCAGTGAAGTGAGTGCAGAACGTGTGTCCGAGTCGGGTTCTAGCTGAACCATTCGCGCAAACGCATCCCACACTCTAGATTCAGCGGAGGTACCTGGTGCTTGGTGTGAAGTGAAGGTGAGCTCGTTTTAAATCAAAATATTTTGCCACAGTGCGACCCAGAAATCGGCGTGATTTTTTCTCTCTCTCTCTCTCTATCATCGCACATCAAAGCAACGGAGGCCAAGAACCCCAATGAGTGTATCCTTAGAAACGTGATCAATCCAAAACTGCACCTCATTCGTCTGTTTGATAGCAGGCCGGTCAAGAGAGGGAAAAAAATAATAAGACGACGAAGAGTGTATGAATGTGATTTTGTAGTGTTGTTGTTATTGTTCTTCATCGCCGTCGTAGAGGATTGGGAACGGATACTGTAGGAGGGTAAGATCGGTTCTCGCACACGACACATAAAGTAATAAACGATAGGGCCGGGCCGCGAGAGGCTGCTGGTTGGTCGATTGGTGGTGAGACTCGTGCAAGATTAGCGAGTACGGTTTTCTTCGTGCACGGTGGCGGCGAGGTTATCGACGGAAGGCACTCTTCGTGTGCGGACCTTTAGCACGCGTTTGCGATGGGTTTTGGGCTATGCGAGATATTGAGCTGTACCGCGATCTGCTGTGGGGGAATATTCGACTGTTTGCTCTTTCAGAGTTGCGGTACGTTAGAAACCTTAGGTTCCTATAAATAGATGCGTACGGAGATTCCATAAGCAACTATGTATTGCACTGCCTATCAGTCCCATATGAATTTTCGTCAATTTTAAGAGAACAACGTTATCCACTATAAATTGGCATGCAAGTATTACGTGATAAATCATTGATCATCAAAAATGTGCAAACAACATCAAGTCAGTTTGTTCCATTATCTATTTTAGTGATGCACCGAATAGTGATATTCGGCCTGGTTTTCGGCGTTTACACCAAAATGTTAACCAATATTCGGCCATTTTACAACTAAAAAGTGGCCGACTAAGTGTTTGAGTGAAACTTTGAGACTGATGTTCGGCCTAAGTATTCGACCGAATACTATGGCGACCGAAAATTCGGTGCATCACTAATCTACGCCCAGTGATCTATTTATAGATCTGTAACATTTTTGATGACTGTTGAAAAACTAGAGTTTAAAAGATTGTTCTAAGGACCAATCTATTGAAAATGGCAAATAATTTAATTCAGAATTGACTCACTAGGTGGTGTTAGTGTTTGCAGAAAACTTCGTTTTATCAACTTTTATAGAAAAAAGTTCTTGTGATATGTGTTAGATAGAAGTTTGCGGTCTTTTGCAATGTTGTTTAGATAACGAAGGCCAACGCTACAGTGTATTTTGACGTAGGACTACGTCTGTGATTTCTATATGGGGGTACACTTTGTGAAAACCGAAAATGGAACATGTAACAAAATTATGAAAGATTTTGAACGTTAATAACTCAGCTGCCCCTGGACCAATTTCAATAATTTTATCACCAATCGATCAGAAATATTTCTACAAATCTGTAAATGCTTACCATTTTTCAAATTTTTTTTATTGAAAATTGCACGAATGTGCAACTGTTGCTATGATTATTAAAATTATCACCGATTGCCTGCGAAAAGCGATTTCCCTAACACAGATTTCAAAGTTAAATTACAGCCGGTCTCACCAAACGGTGTATATTCAATCACCGCGTGGTGAGCGGTGGTGTTCTTTAGTACACAACGAAAGGCTCCCCGCAAGCAGCTAGCTATCAAGACTGACCTCAACCGCTGATCGGATTCAGTTCCAATCACCGTGCGTGGTGGTGTCCGTTCGTCGGCATCAGCAGCAGCAGCAGTAATAACTCAGCTACTCCTGGACCAATTTCAATAATTTTATCACCAATCGATCAGAAATATTTCTACAAATCTGTAAATGCTTACCATTTTTCAAAAATTTTCTATTGAAAATTGCACAAATGTGCAACTGTTGCTATGATTATTAAAATTATCACCGATTGCCTGCGAAAAGCGATTTCCCTAACACAGATTTCAAAGATGAATTCCATCCACTCTCTCCAAACGGTGTTTATTCAATAACCGCGTGGTGAGTTGTGGTGTGCTCCAGTACACAACGAAAGGCTGCCTGCAAGCAGAGAACTGCAGCCCAGATGAGCATCCATAGAAGGAGGAAGCCGCCACACCGCTATTGATCGGAATCAGTAGATCTTCGTGATTCGCTGTGGGCCATCTATGTCAAGCGTGTCATACCAAAGAGTATAAACAGAGATAATCCCACTCAAATTCCTATTCCTACACAAAACACAAGCTCGTGCCGCAGTTAATGTTCCTTCTGAACGGGTTTTGTCAAGGCGAAGTGGACTGTACTGGGCTGGAGCGAACGGAGTTGGCTAGCGTCAATCGAAGTTCTAAACTCAGAAGCTCTGAAAAGAGCTGGGGGGTTTGACGCTGCTCTCCGGGACACGGTGGACATGCAGTAGAAATGACGAATGCTGCCGACTACACTAGACACTACTGTTTTATTTCTCTTTGCTTCTTAATACAACGTTTTACAGCTGCTGCTGCTGCGAACGGATGCTCGGTTGGATTCAAACTTAAACTAAAGCACGCTACTGCGGGGATTTTTATAGAGCGGCACCGACTGTTTGCTCGTTGCTGATTGGTCGACGTTTTTCTCCTCTCTTTCGGCGGTAGGCGGAACATCCTCCCCCCGGTTGAGAGATCTCAACACCTTTTGGAAGTCGGAGGGCTTTGACGGGCATCATTATCCTCGATGGGCAGAATGGACACCTTATTGATGGGACGTCGATACGTGGTTCCATTCACGAAGACATCAACTGCTCGGACCAGGCCGTCGGTTCCAGGATAGACGGCTACGATGCGACCTAACTTCCATTTGAGTGCTGGTTGGTTACGGTCGTGAAGCAACATGATCATGTCTTCCCGAATGTTCGGCTTCTCTTGTCGATTTTTCTTCCGAGGCTTTCGCGCATAAGTTGGAGATGTTGTCACCGTGTCAAGCTTTGACGTTCTCGGGAAGGTTCAGCTGGGGCGATCAGCGGTAGTCCAATCAAATAATGCGCTGGAAATTGCGAACAATGGTCGGGAGTTCAAGACGGCCTCGATTTCTGACAGGATCGTACACAATTCCTCGAACGTTAGATTCGTATTGCCGACTACCCGCTTCAAATGGGTTTTGGCCGACTTCACGGCTGCCTCCCACAAACCACCGAACTCGGGTGCGTCGGGTGGAATGAAATTCCACTCAATTTCATGATTGCGGCAGAAAGATTCGATGGTGTCCACGGCGTGTTGGTCACAAAACTGCTGGTAAAGGTTGTTCTATTCGTGGTGAGCACCACGAAAATTGGTTGCGTTGTCCGAATGGATTTCTTGGACCATTCCACGGCGAGCAATAAATCGTCGAAGGGACGCCATGAAGGCATCGGTACTCAAATCGGAGACGCCCTCCAAATGGACGGCTTTGGTTGCCATGCAAACATAAACGGCCACGTACGACTTCATTGGTCGGGTCCTTTTTCCGACAATTGGCAGTGAATTGCAGGACATAGCCCACAACTCGTTGGATTTTGCGGAAGTTACTGAGCTTTGGAAGAAAAGATAGGAAGTCCATACTCACATCTGGCCCTGCTACCAAGGCCTTAAGTTCCGGTAGCTTCTCGTCTGAAACGTCTTCAGGGGCATCTACGTAGTACTCAACTCTTTGCAGGAATTCGGGCCCATTCCACCAAAGGCTGTTGTGCTTCAGGGATTCAACTAGTTGACCTCAGGATACGATGTCTGCTGGGTTCTGTTGGGACCGGACATACTCCCACCGGTACTTACTGGTATGCTCTTGTATAATTGCGATTCGATTCCGTACAAACAACTGTAGCTGGTTGAGAGGTTTCTTAATCCAAGCGAGGACTACCGTACTGTCGCACCACAGGACTATTTCACGGAAAGTCATATCCAGGGCTGGTAACACCTTCTGTACCAACCGGGTTAGTAGGAGAGCGGCGCACAATTCCTTTCGTGGGAGCCGAGCCATCGCCAAAAATACTTCGCACAAAGATGCAGGCTCCATCAGAGAAGCCGTGCAGCTCGTAGGCGACCACGTTGTCCATTGTCACGCGCCTTGGGATCTCGATCTCGTGAAGATGCGACAAGGCATCTTGGAGTTGTCGACACTGCTGTGCGATTTCTTCGCCAACCGGGTCGTCCCACCCGGAATTAAGCTGCCACAATTTCTGCGCTAGAAGCTTCGCCAAAACAATGACCGGTAAAACCAGTCCCAGGGGGTAAAAAAACTTGGCGATCTCGGAGTACATCGTTCTTTTCGTGGGCCGTTGCGGATGCAATGTTGGATTTGGACGATAGGCTATGAGTATCGAGTCTGCAGAGGGATCCCAGAGTAAACCAAGTACCTTGATGGCTTCATTAACTCCATGCTCTTCCCACGTGATCCTTTTTTCTTGATCCTCCACGGGAATATGCTCTAGGAATTCCGGTGAATTTGAGCACCACTTGTGTATGGGGAAACCTCCTTGTCCAAGGAGCTGCTTCAGCTGTTATTGAGCCTCGATAGCGTCCTCCACCGAGTCTGCACCGGAGAGTACATCGTCCATGTACGTTTCTTCTTTCACAATACGAGCGACGACAGGAAAGTCCTCATCATCCTCTTCGACGAGCTTCAGTAAACACCTGGTTGCTTGATATGGTGCCGATGCCGTACCGTACGTAACGGTACAGAGTTCCAGGACTCGCAGGGGTAACGATGGGTGCTCTCTCCAAAAGATTCGAAGGAAACTACGATCCAACAGGGCTTTGAGTATTTGACGGTACATTTTAGAGATGTCTCCGATGATGGCAACCTTGAATTTTCGGAACCTTAGCGCGATATGGTGCAGATCGTTCTGTACTCCTGGACCAACTTGCAGTACATCGTTCAGGGAGAGTTCCGATGGCGACAACTTTGCACTTGCGTCGAACACGACTCGACATTTCGTGCTCGAGCTGGACGGACGTAACACTGCATGATGCGGCAAATAGTAGGTTTGCTTGTTGGGTGGATCTTCAGACTCGTTGATCTCGGTGCAGTTGCCG